GTTCAGTTTCTCTGCGACACATTCTAACTGTTGCGCATTTGTCTATTTGACAGGTCATTCTGAGTGGCGATGGCGTAGATGAGTGTTCCATACCTGGTGGCTTCGGTGCGGCAGGTGCACCCAACGACGGGTGGCACCAGCATGTTCATGCGCTGGTGCACTCGTATTGCAAAACTGCTGTGGAATGGAGTGATTCATTGGATCTACGTCGAGAGCTAGACAAGCTCCAGCTGTCCGTGCAGTCCTCTGTGACAACAAAGTTTCACAGATATGCCGAGTCAGTTTACTCTTGATATCCTTATACTTATATATATATAATATATATGTGTTCTTTTGGTTTCCACTATTTGCACAACATTGGAAAGAACAAGGAACTTCTATATAAAGGACTCCATAATAATGTGCACAGCCAAGGTCCTCGGTGCTGACATCTATTCGAGGCGATGCATATGCATTGGAATCGCTGAATTCCTTTAAGTGGCTTTCCTAAAACAAATTGGAGAAAGGAATAGAGACAAGAGCAAATACTGTGGTGATTTGGTGTGAGGTGTGTAATGAGGGACATTCTACACACTGTCTTTTATTTTTGATGGGATTCTGAGTGAACCATGAGGCCTGTGTGAGGGGTACCCTTTGTGAGCTTGAAACCTGAAGATTTTGATAGAGTTTAATAAGGGAAATCATAAGACTTTTGTGCTATCAATATAGATAGTTTTTAAGGATTGTGAGGACATTGGCAACTCAGGTCCGGCAGATTGGTGTGGTATGCTTGGCTCAGCAGAGGACTCGTGACCAAAGAGCAAATAGCCAAGTGGCACTTTGAAGGCTTCCCGGAGACTGTAAATTGCATCTTTTTTGGTACCCACTCTTGGTTGGTTGAAACATGTATATATATATATATACGATATATATATATATATCTCACTGTTTTTGACGGGCTTGTGGGCTACATTCTATCTGTGCAAGGTGACCTCAAAAGACTGGAGGACGAGCTCAAAAGATGCCGCGGCTGCATGGATCAACTTCTTAGGATCAGCAAGGTTCCTGAGATGAACACCACGGAAGAGGAAGCTGCTACATTAGACATGCTCCGGTCTACCCCCATGAAAGATGAAAGGCAAGTGCTTTGGGCGATTCAAGACGGAGACGATGTGGCCACCAGACAGTCACTGCCATCATGGATGTGGCCAGCCATAGAAGAAAAAGTGGTCGGCTGGGTGCAGGAGAAGCAGAATTGGAACCACAAGATTGCAGCCCGCCATGCAGTTGACAAGGAGTTGACACCTGCGCAGCAAAGTGCCTATGATCAGTTTGTGGCTCAAAGAAGTGAGTGCGCACTATTATTCAGCATGACCAAGCAAGCCCTGGTGACCCGTGTGAGAAGTAATGCGGACTTGGACAAACTTCGAGCCGAGTGCTTCTCAATAGTGATTTTGCTTTCATCGGAACCAGAGAAATTGCTGATCAAAACAGGCCATGGAGATCAGAAGCGTTTGCTTCTTTTGCAAGGTGAGCCAACTACTACAGAGGTGGTGCCTGATTGCCTTGCGTCTGGAGGAATATCTGGCTCCTTTGAGGCATTTGCCAAGCGTCAAGAAGACGGTGACAATGAAGAGGAGGAAGATGACGGCCAGCAAGAAGATGTTGGTGCACTTCAAGAGCAAATGGTTCTAGAGGCTGGGGAGGCCGATGCTCTGCAGATTCTGGCATTTAGCGATGAGGAAGAGGATTTGAAAGACTTGGTTCTGACAAATCTGTCGGGCAGCAAGCCAGCCATTCAGCGAGTGAAGGACTTTGCTTCTCGCGAAGCTTACACCTACTTCGAAAAGGATAACCTGACCCAGATCCCGCCAAATTCCTGCATCGGCTATCACAAGACGACCAGGACATGGCAGGGATACTTTGAGAGGTCCAGTGTTGGCCTTACTTTCACACATGGTGGAAGCACTTCACGGAGCGAGAAGGAAGCGCTCCTAGCCGTGCTGGTCGGTTTGGCACAAAAGCATTGCGACAAATATACAAGGGATCGTTTGTGGGCATCTCAGTTGGAGAAACTGAAGAAAGTGAGTTCAACGCAGGCTGTGCTTTGATTGATGTCTGTTTGCACGCAGTACTAGGGCCCTTTATGTACTCAAATCTATATATATATATGTTTGTGTTTTCCGTCAGCGTTGATGCCACATTCTTACTGTATGTATTTTTTTGCTCTGTGCCTTGGTGCTGGCAATGCCACGAATTTGACTGACAGCGGCCAAGATGAAGTCCGGCTCGCAACTTGTTCAATCAATATACTAGTAACAAGAAGCCACATTCTTACTGTATGTATTTTTTTGCTCTGTGCCTTGGTGCTGGCAATGCCGCAATGCCACGAATTTGACTGACAGCGGCCAAGATGAAGTCCGGCACGCAACTTGTTCAATCAATATACTAGTAACAAGAAGCCACATTCGTACTGTATGTTTTTTTTTGCTCTGTGCCTTGGTGGAATCACATTCCTACTGCCCCCTTTCCTGAGCTTTTGCTTTCAAACAGTCAGTATGGTTGTAGTGCCCCAAGACTGTGCCTTGGCCTGATGATCCAGAATTCGTCACGTGCTTCGAAGGGGGTTGTGCCACAGAGGCAATCCAGTGAAGCGTTGTTGTGATAGGTTTTGCATAGAAAGTGAAATGCATCTGTCTATTCTCCCTCACGATTTGCACATGAGGCAGGGTATGGGTGAAAACATATCCCATTGATCCAGCTGCCGTTGCAAGAAGCGTACAGTACAGCTCGGGAGGGGAAAACATGGTCCGATGCTGCCTTTTGAGTGTGAATTACATAGGAATCAGGTATGCAGAGTGAGGTATATATATATATGCATTTATCTTGTCTTATATAATGTATTTATTGGATATTTGAGCTTTTGAGGTCATCCTGTAGTCTCTTCCGATAGACTGGAACTTTGAATGTTCTAAAGCTACATTCTAACTGTGGGTCCGGGCCCCCCCGGGTCCGAGAGCTGCTAACTGTGGATGCCAAAATTTTGGAAACGGGAACCACATTCTAAGTTCCAGTCCGTCGGTATAAATGCCGCTGCCAGAACAGGGGACCACCAGAGTGCGTATTTTATGTGTTTTTGCTGCCTACTTCCATCTATGTGCTATAAACTTCCCACTGTGGCCTGCATTCATGCTATGTGTCTGTGAAAGCTGCCTCAATGTCCTTTGCACTGGAAAACAAACACAAACAGTCTCGAGAAAATAGAGAGAAAACCAATAACAACCTAGGAAAAGCCAAAAAACCTTGGGAAAACAAAAAACAAAAGAACAAAAACACAAAAACACCAAAAACAACAATTCTCAGAGACTCTTGGCTGGACCCCCCCCTTTCCTCAAGACTTCCCCAGATGGTTTTTTGTTTTTTTGGTTCGTTTGTTTTTTGTCTTCCCAAGGTTTTTTTGTTTTCCTATTTAGGTCAATCTGTGTTCTTACTATTTCGTTCAACCTTCAAGTATGTGAGCCTAAGTCTCACCTAAACACATCTTCTTTGCTCTTACAATGAAAGCGTCTGAGCCCACCACTCCCTTTGTCCTTGTCGAAATCTCCATGTACAAGTCTGTGCATTAACTTCTGATTGTATCAATGTGGTTGCCAATTGCATGTCCAATCAGCTTGACATGAAACTGTAATGATACCTTCCAATTTACATGCAATTGTTATGAATCTGTGTAAGCTGTAGTTCTAATTTAGTGCTTGTTGCTTTTGCTTCGGCTTTGTAATTTCGAAGCCTCCTCGACTTGTGCATCTTGTAGCTCAAGCGTTTTACATCTTATTCTGGCGAACTTCTAATTTTAATTCCAATTCCTTTCTAATTCAACTCTCATCTAATTTTAAATAGGTTATAGTTATAGTTCAATACAGGTTTAGTTGAAATTCGGTTTTAATTCAGTTCTATCTTAGCTCTAACTCAAATCCAATTTAATTCTACCTAATTCTATTCTAGCTCTAGTCTATTTAATTTAAGAAAACACAGGCTACAAAACCCCGTGTTTTACAGTATTTTTTTGTCCTGGGAGTGCTGGGAACAATACTAAAACTCTTTTTTGAAGTAAATAGTTAGATTTTGTTTATTTACAGTAATCACTGGAAATAATATGAACATATTAAACTTGTTTTATGTACAAGCTTCTAATTCAAGAGCTTCCCTCTAGATCTCTGTGGATGATCATTTCTACAATAAAAATACATAAAAGCTTTCATTTCAAAAGCTTTCGTCTGGATCTCTGGAAATGATCATGTCAATTTAAACATGCTATATATAAATAAATATGTTTTTCTTTCAAGAGCTTTCATTTCATGAAAACACACATATATGGGATATCTACTTTCCCAGAGATCCAGAGGAAAACTTTGAAAATGCAAGCTCTTACCCGCAGAAATCTAGAATAAAGCTTTTAACATACAAGGTTTCTATACAGTTGTTTAAATCTAAAAATGATTATCTGCAGAGATCTATAGAGAATCTTGTGTAACATAAACGCGTCTATATAAACTCGTTCCAAATCTAAACATAATTATAAACATGGATCTAGAGACTTTTTTATGGCCTGCTTCGTTCCTAATTATTTTGTTCAAAACCATCTGAATGACTGCTTGCTGCTTCCAAAACAATAAAATGACCCTGATTCAGGAACACATAATATATTTGTTCATATGGAGAGAGCAGGAACAGATTATATATATATGTTTATATGGAGAGGGGCTACCACTGAAGCATTTACCTAAAATTTTGGGAAAACCAAAACCCAGGCCCCATGTTAGAGTAGAGTGGTATCTTCTGCCCTGGAGTGAAAACAAGCATCTTGGCATATCTTGAGCATCAAATGATACCAAACACTAGTTTAAAAAAAAAAAAAAACAATTAAAAAACTGCACTCTCACAGTCCCCCGCTCACATAAATTATTCATATATTCAATTAGTATTGATGGAAGAAGCTTCCACCATCTCTGCAGCTGAGGATCTTTGTGCTTCATAGAACTGCCACAGGGCTCGAGACCTGAGAAAAAGCTTTCAGAGCTGAGCCAGCACATGATATGATGAGGGATGCTCCACATCAATAGTTCCCCCAAACTGATATTGGTTTCCATGCCCCCAATTGTACAAATCAGTCAGTGATCCAACCTCGATCCAATGTATTGGATGTTGACGTTGGGCAAATGGATTCATTCTTAGAATCAACACAATCAAAAAGAACAGTGTACAGTAAATATGAATGCGATTGACACTGAATTACAGGAATTGGCAGTGTCCAAATGTCCTCTGCCCAAACAACACCTTCCCACACTCCAGCCTCTGCACCGAACATACACAAAAGCAACTCCCCACTTGGGTGCAGCTCCCAAATCATCGTCCCCCCAAGAAGGGTCCCTAAGTCCACATACATAGACGCACAGTAATCTTTGTGGCGCTAACATCTGCTTCTAGTGAACCCTCCCCCCCAAATCCAGCATTCCTCCCTTGCACTGCAGCCAACCCTGGCACCCACTGCTTCAACCAAGCCGCCACTGCTGCGCTTGGCCACAGCGCTGGATAGCCTTGGTGACTTCCACCAAGCGCCGCAGAACGGAGCCGCGGACTCCGCGGCCGGACCTGACAGCAATCTGGTGAGAGTGGTTGGATGGTTGGTTGATGTTGGTTGGGTGGGTCAATTGATTTGTGTGATTGAAAGTTTGGTTGGTTCCAAATCAGGTCCCTCTTGAATAGGACATCTGTTAGTCTGTTGAAAGGGGTACCTTCCCTCTACAGGGTTCTAAGATGATCTCAAATGTCAAAACCCTGAATTGTATGCCACCAGTGATAGGCTCACTCAAATGATTGTATGTTGGGTCCAAGACCGAACCACAATCGCCAGCTGAGGAGTTGCCCAAAGGCCCCGAAAACATTCTTCCCACATCTCCAAAGGATTAACAATGATTAACACCTTGCAGGTTTGGTGGCAAAATAACAGCGATGGTGGAGGATGTCAGGACATCCCGAGCGCATCATTTATTCAATGTTCGTTGGCCGATCGGGAAGCTTCTCGGACTGGCTGGGGTGCCGAGCATAGCTCCCCAACAGCCATGGCTGCCATGCAACAAGCAGCGAGTGCAGATTCTAGTTCAAGAAAAGTGTGTATGATTCATCGCATTGCCATTGTTTGGGTGATTGACCCCATGATATCTCAGCCGTCTTTCAGAAGTTCCAAACATTCTGGACATGTTCAATTTGTGGCAGTTTTTGATGGTCTGTCTGATGCTTGAATGCCAGGGGGCATTTGAAGACCTCAAATCAAAAAGCCCATAGATCTTTCAGAAGAGGTGAACATATCATATCCTTGCAAGGTAGGAGACTGGTGTGAGAAGAGCAAGGTTGGCAAACAGGTGCCAGCGTGGGCCAGCCTGTTTTGGCAACTGTGCACAGACTTTGCGGTTGGAGAGCAAGTTAAAAAAATAAAACTTAAAAAAAAAAAAAAAACATTTATGATATGTCTCCAGTGACAAAAGTATTAACATTTTGTAGTAAAAGATGTTAAAGTAGTGTCATCCAGTCAAGCAGGACTGAAAAACTGTTGGAGGTCTTTGCGCTGGCCAAATCTGAGATCTCTCCACCCCAATGGCGCCGCAACTTGATGCTTTTTCATCCACGGCAATCACGTCGATGTCGCCTTAGTCTTCTCACTTGCCACTCATCCTTGCAGTCCGGTCCTGGAGGCCACCGCCGATGGAACACCAGGCCGCTACGGCAGGCTCTCTCGGGTCACCGGCATGAAACGGTTGGGACTCCCTTGGGACCGGAGGATCCAATGGTGGGAGGACTGGGCCAGTGCGAAGTCAAGTCAGTGGCCAGTCATGCCCCACTCACAAGACTTTCGGCAATCTTCCAACATCTGTGGGAACGTCCCACCCTCTCACTCTCTTGCTAAGGTGTTGTGGAAAAAAACATCCAAGGCCGAGGCCCATAAGAATCATAAAATAGCATAAGCACACTATGGTCGACCGTAGGATGTGTTACTCAAGGAGGATGTTTCTTAGCAAATAGTATGACCACTCTGAGGGAGGCTCTGACGCAACCATACCATAGGTTTATTTGATGAATTTGAAGCTGACCCCACCAATGGCTTGGTTGTTTTCTACGTGAGGTGAATCGGTGAAACCCACAATCCCAGTTTCAAGCCCACGCAAAACCTGATCTGGTGAGGAGTCCTCCAGAGTTAAGTCGTATGGTTGGGTAAACTAGCCAAAATTACAACGTAACGATGGGATGACCATCACTTTACAAGCACTATGAGGTTCATGACCAACTCTTCCTACAGGGTTGACAGAAGGAATTCACTGAGCTACATGGTAAACAATAAACATGCACATGTCTTGTTATTAGAAACAAGAGAACAAGAACTACTGACTTCCAGTTACAATTCCCTTGGCCTAGAATGCCTAAGGCTTGTCCTCGTCTGGTCCACCTTCTGAGAAAATGCCGCTTTGACCCCAATCCCGGGAAGCCGCTTTTCCCTCTCCACCCAAGAAAGGGCCGTCCGACAACAAACCCTCAAATGCTCCGGCCTCCACGATGCTGAGCTTCACGCCATTGCCCTTGGGCAAAGAGATCCAAGGCTTGTTCCCCTGAATCGGTCGCGCGGGTCACTCGTGGTAAGGACAGAAATAAACGCCCCCTAGTCACTCTCCCAGTCGCGCGGCGTTGGTGTTCGTCAAGACCAAGAGAATATATAATATAATGTATAGTTTTTGGGACCCTCAAGTTTCCTTCTGGAAAGTTGCTCCTCCAAAGCCACAACTTTCGGGGACCCTCAAGTTTTGTAGATTCTCATGCGAACGCAACAAAACAGCAACATGAGACACCCGACACGCTGGCGGGTGGGGACGGGTACAGGGTGTGACGATCTGAGACGTGCAACGTGGGAAAAAAACCGTTGCGACCCCTCAGTCCACTTCCGGGAACAAGAAGCGAGCTAAACCTGGCCTGGCCGATGACAAAGACGTTCTCCAAACGAGTGTTGAATTGGTGTCCGGCTGAGTCCTGAAAATGAGGTCCGGTGTCTGCCTTACCTCGATGGTGAGAAAGGGGAGGGGGAAAAACAACAATCCGTCATTCGTCAAACCTCTTCCTCGATACAGTAGATGTTGGATGATGCTGGTTACTTCGAGTCTCTGGCAACTTTCTATTCCTTGTGACCAACCTGGAGAACGTCCTTGATGTGCACCATCTCGAAGGACCCTGGATGCTTCTCCTCGTGGGTGATGGTGCCCACTCGGCCAATGTTGTTTCCACCGCCTGGGCGGTTTTTGGAGGACCCCGTTTGAGATCGTTGGAATCAAACGGCAAGGCCTCTAATAAGGTCTTTCCATTGTTCCTCTTCCCAAAAGATCAACAAACAAAACATACAAAATCATACAAGTAGCACAACACATCAAGCCATAAATATATCATATTATTGCTTGAGCTGCAGTGACAAAAAGTCAAAAACTAACTAAAAACAAGTAAATAGCACGTTTCTCTATGGTGGCTTTGGGGGACTGCCCTCCCATACTCTCAAAACCAACCTGGTAGCTCAAATCCCCTCCCATCCCTTATCAAAAAATGTCAAAAAGATCTCCAACGATGGCATCTCAGTGGCTGATCATCACCAGATTTCCAGTCTCAAACTTCACATGGTCCAGGATCTTTCCGGTCTCCAGGTCCAACCGCAAGGTGTCGTGGGCCTCTCGAGAGTCCACGATGGAGACCGAAGCTCTCTTTGGCTTTTCTGTTGTGTCCAAGTCGTCTTGTAGATGTGTCATGTTCGTTAAATGCCATTCCTACGCTCTTCCTTTTGTGTTTCCGAGGGATCTTTCCACTGTGCTCTTCACAGACTTGGCTCTTTGTCCCCGTTCGATCCGCCCAACAAACAGCTAAAAGCAGCTGGGGACCAAAACCTGTGCAACTCATGTAGCCGGCATGTCACATATTCCTTTCACTTCCTTTAAGAGGTCACCAGAAGCACCGAGTGAAAGAAGAACCGAGTCGCCATGGCGACTCGCGACCCGCCTTGATGTCCGGATCCGGGTACCGCAAGGTGCGGCCGTCGTGGGTCACGGCGTAAGGCACGCCCTTGGGACCACGGGTGACGCGCTTCACGCGGCAAAGCTTGTAGTTGGCCTGGCAAAGCTTGTAGTTGCCAGAGACGGGGGTCGCTCCGGTGGGCTGAGAGACTTTTCGGAATAGATAGGAATAGGATGGAATAGGTGCCCCAAAGGGGCACAACCAAAAATGTTGAACTGCATTTTTTGACAAGAATAGCTGGGCAAGTCCAAAGACCTGAAACTTGTGATCATCTAGCAATTTGTTGATCATCGACCTGCAAGATATCTATTTATCCTTCGAAGGTCAGGCTTATTCCCACCAGAGTGGCCAGGGTGAGGCCAGCAAGAAACCTAACAAGATAGGGCTTAGCTCAAAAGGTTGTGTTCACTTCACCAGCTAGTGACAGCATGCTTAGGCACATATGGCACATATATAGCAAGTTCCCAGAGACCTGCATGCGGTCATGGTTGCCTCTTCCGCCCCTTCCCCTTGCTGTCCCTGTCCTGTCATGTCCTGTCCTGTGGGTCTCAAATAACCTCCGTGTTGGGCAAGAGATGAGCTCCTGAAGAGCTTCGCCATCTTTTGCTAAGCAATGCTTCTTACCATTCCAAAATGTTCCCAATTGATAACACAAATTCCATTACAGAGACCTTTTTAGGCCCCTCACTCTTCCCCCTGCTCTTTTTGCGGGATGTCTTGCCTCCTCCTTTGCCACCTTGTGCAGCACAAACCTCGTTTTCTCACGTTGCGTGACCAGGCTGGTTGAGTCCCATAAGGGTCACGGACGAAGGGTACCACGGTCACACCCAGAAAACCATGAAAACCAGGTCTCCACAAAAGGGCAGTGACCTTTCCATAGAGGTACGCGGTCTAGTAACTAGTAAGTATGTATACTGTGTGTATATGGTCGAGTTGATTAAAGTCAACAAACACATCACAGCATAACACAAAACAAAACATGGGATTTGGACATCCTCCATGTCATCAGTTGGACGTTGCCCTCAGTGAACCAAAATCGAAAAGACTGCGCTGGGCAGCGAAACTGGGGGAAGCCTTTCCTTCACCAGTCAGTAAGGAGCGACCCTTTCGCTTCCTCATACAATCTCAAACGAACCAAACACTTGCACTTTCCCACCAGCAGTCACCAGCACCCACCCGGCCTGCCCTTGGTGTTGTAGAGGAGGCGGAAGTTCTCCTTGGTCTTATCCTTAGCAAAAAGCACGGTCTCAGTGCTCTGCCAGCGGTGTGCGATGCCAGCGCAACACTCTGCGGCAGGGCAACAGGCGCATGGATACCTTTTTCTCATGCAAAGCCTCATTCTCTCAGAGTGAATCCATCAAACATGCTCAAATTCAGAATGACTGGCCTCAAGCGGTCCATGAACCCTCTAGTGACTCTAGTCTTCGACCGAGTTGCACCATTGAATCTCTTTCTATTGGACATGTTGTCCAATTTGGTCGAGTCTAACAGGCTAACCTTCAGTCCGATGTCCTTTCCGAGTCTATCCGAGTCTATCCAAGCATCAATCTGGATGACATCCATGAAGCCGGCGGGGTAAAACATGTCGCATCGCACCTTCCCATCTACCTGCCCAGTCAAAGTATAGATTTATGAAACTGCAAGAGCAGCACACAATTTGAAACCATTCATAGGGCTAGGTACAGGCTGGCTAACTGACCAAGGCCAGAAGTGTGAGTGTGCTCCATCCAAGATAGTCGGGAGGACTTTGACAACATCAAAAGGGGACATCAGCTTTCAAGATTCCAAGACGTCTGTCCAGACTTCAAAGGCTCCAAACATCTCAAGCATTCTCAAGAGCTCTTAATCTGGCTTTGCTTGGTGAAGAACATATAACCACATCTCACAGTTTCTTGAATGTTCTCAGCAGATTGGTGTAAACGTTCGTTGAGCAATCATGAATTGATAGTCATTTAGTCCCCTCCAATATTACCATGAAGTTGCCTTTGCTGCCACAATATAATCTGTAAACAAAAATAAATACGCTGATGACCTGGAAATAGGGATTTCAGAAAAACAAAATATTGAATTAGTTTGAAATAGCAGTGAATTAGGCTTTGATTGATGGGGTTCTGCGTCTTGACGATGTCAAGCCTCCTCGTACTTGTTATCTGAACAAATAGGACAACCAGGGATAGTGATGTCAAATGCTGACTTGGCAAAGGCCTCAGTTATCCACACTAAGTCAAAAAAAAACACCTTAGCAGCAGTGCCGGCCAATTTATATACAACGTTGTCCTTTTGTTGATGACTATTATACAATTGATACACCTCCTTTCCCTCGAACGGCACTGGTTGGTCGATCTCTTTGCCACACCCATCCTCTCTGCGCCTTGATCAGACGCTGCATGACAATCATCTTCACCTGAGGGGCAGTTGTCACACGCTGAGACTGGGGAACCACGCTGAGACTGGGTGCTGCTGTTGCTGATGTGGAGTTGATGTTGTTTTGTTCAATGTGAACGTCTCTTGGTCAAAGGCAAAAATCAAGGGATCATAGGATTATATGTGTCATTATATATATATATGTCATAGGTGTTGGACATATCGTCCATCTTCTGCCATACCCAATCTGCTGGTTCTCACAGGAAAACATGAAGAACGTACCAGACCGAAGCCATCGCAGGAAGAGTTTCATGTCCTTGAGACAACTTGAGTCATCCTTTTAAACTTGGCTCCTCCACACACCGAGAAAGGTCCCAAAACCACCCGCCTCACGGTAGGTAAGGGCATATTTCAGCCTCTGTCGCAGCATCACCTTGGTCCAAGAAGGTGAATCATCAGAGTTGCATGTCACTGGGAAAAGGTCCGGCTTCGGGCTATGTGCCGTTGATAGCTTCTTATGGTTTCAGTATGTTTGTCCTTTTGGATTCCGCACAAATGCAGTGTCTATTCAAGAATCATGTTGACCTGGGACCTCAAATATGGGACATTGGAACAACCAGTTGAACAGTAGCCTAGCCCAGGACCTAGCCCAGTACATCGGTGTCACATTGGCCAGCACGTCTACGAAGGACAGGTGGTCGGAGGTCGAGTCAAACCTTCTCCCCAGCAAATGCTACGAGCAAATGCTCGTCCCCCAGTTGGAGGGAATTCACTGTTCATACCCGAACAACTCACATTGAACTGCCTGAAACCATAGTCACTAATACAGTTGAAACAGTCAAAACCAAGTCCCTCTTTAGGGGTGGAGTTCAAAATGAATCTCGGACAAGTAGTGGGGTACTGTATTGGAATGTTTCAGGAATCCCAAAGCTACTTGCCATGTAGTGAGTCATGAAAGGATGCTGTATGGGATATCCCAATGCAAAAAGTTCGTGGTAGGTAAACAGCTAAGAACCGATGTGAAACTCACAAACCATAAACATCCATAGACGCATCAATTATCTCATCAATTCAAACTTACAGTATATCCTTGTCTCGCATCATGCAGTCCATGCATCTGCCAAGTCTGCTTCCTGTCTTTCCATATCTTTCCATAAACCGTCCGAGTTACGATGAGAGGCAAGCACTCCCTGAGCTTATGAGGACCAGCATTGGGCTTGGGCGCCCATCGTCCCCTGGCCGATCCCATCCAGTTTCCCCCTTGCTGCACTCGCGTACAGCCATGCAAACAGGGATCATCTCATCATCACTTCTTTGAACATATTTGAACCCTGCCCACGTGTCCAGCGCGCCTCAACTTGTCCAGCATCCAGTGCTTGGGCGCATACATGCGCTTCAAGTGCTTGATGATACCACGCGCCATGATCTCCTGACGCCACAAGTGCCGATCCCCGGACCAGGATCCCATCAGAAACAAACATGTTTGTCGTGTGTTGGACGCAAACGACAAATCGGCAGAAACCTAGCATCTCGTGAACTTCATGTTCTTTGATTGGCCACAGTGCAGGAACTGAACTAGACCAATGATTGCACACCACCACAAACAAACCTAGCTAAAACATTCCACTATAATCTAGTCTGTATTTGTAACCTTGTATATTCCTATATATATATATGTATATTATGAACTATTATATTTTAGTAGTAGTTAGTCGTCTTAGCATCGGTGTTAGTGTGATTGTGTATTTTTACTTATAATTTTGATAGCAATGTTTGGATCCCAGAGGATCTCTTTCCAAGAACTTCCAGCACAGCCATGGACCATCTGCCGAGCTCACATGCTAAGTGTCAGGCCGGGGTCTGCGCTGCTCAGCTCGACGTGTGTTTGTTTCGTGGATGTTTCCCTGAACCCAAATGCAGCAGAGTTTGGCATGCACAACCAACTGGTCCAATGCTTTACTGAACGGTTGGATGTTCTTTGAAACTCCTCTACATCAATGTGATTCACTATCACCCGCATCGGGGGTTCGATGCAACTATGATTGCTGCAAGCAGCCCTCACAGAATCAATCCTCCGTGACAAGTCTAGTGCTTTGTTCATGGACATCTCATTTTTCGTTCGCACATCCTCGGCCATCCGCCTGTGGGTGCTAAAATAGGAAGAGTCCGAGAATCCATCAATAGACATCTAGATCTTTGGACATTCTTGGTGGTTCGTCCTGTTTGTTTGTTCCCCAAGCATTGAGACGTCTTCCCATTGGAACAACACCCACCGGTGTTCGACGACATCACCCGGCTGTGGAGCGGCCGGTGGAGCTTCAATTCGCTGTGAAATCTCGAAGTCCCAAAGTGACAGACCGTTGGAGCCCTTTTGGATCTTCAGGGTGCTCGTTTGGAACCATCAGGGGAGGCGAGATGCGTGCACGCTCCAAAAGATGAAGTGATGGTCCATGATGGTAGCTTTCACAAAGCTTTAACTAATTAAATTAACTATGTATATATATTGTATTATATTATACTATATTCTATAAGTTGCTTGAAGCCTGGGTCCATGCGAGTCCAAAACCACAATCCACGAGTTGGGGGCAGTGCCCGACAGGCAGTTTTAGTACGAAACTGCCGACCGAGAGAACACCAAGGTTCGGCGATGTCAGCAATCAAACCGTGAGCTGAATCCATGTGACGGATGGTGAGCATCGACCAGTAAAGTACTCACACGTCACACGTCCATTCCCAACTAACCCAAAAATAGTCAGTTGCACAAGTTGCACAAACATCTGAGCGATCCGTTGTTACCCGTTCATAGCCAAAGGCTAGAAGCCTTCGGTCACCTACAGTCCACAGTGGTGGGCAAGCTTGCTGTTCAGTGGTAGCTGACACATCTGTCCAAAGGCTAGAAGTACAATGGTTTAAGACCGAACATATTTAGTACAAGAACAAAAGCTTGTGGGCAAAAGGTCTCCATGGCAAGTGTCAGACTCTTCTTCGCACACCAGGGGAACTGTACACAAACCACTGACACAAGTTGCACTTCCGGTTTGTTCATGTATTAAACGACCTCAAACCTCTTACAGTGAACAAAACGTCCACCGCCCGGACAAAAAAGAAGCTGCACATCTGATGTGCGAAGGAACCACAAAGGGTGATGTATCCATCAAAACTCCACGAGTTTCAAACTGAATATCCAAATATCCAATGGGTAGCAAAAGGTAGCAACCAGTCTTCGGAGTGGATGGGGTCGCAAGTCGTATACTTGATAAAATCACATCCTGCTTGTTTTGCTAACAGAGCGTGCTATGGTGGGAGTGACCTTTAAAACAAATAGCACTGCTCAATAGAGAGCCTGTAATTTAGGTTTGGGTCAAATCACTGCTCGACAAAAACGGCTATTTGGTCTAATCTTGATCATCTGGTCATGTTCTGAGAATCTTGAAAGCCCGTTCTTCATCTTCTTCGCTCCGCCATCGCCGAAGGAAGCTGGACGAAGTTCCACCGATCGCCTGAGCCACCGAGGCCGCAACACGCGAGGCCCCCCTGTGGCCATGCAATTCCTACCTACGGCGTGCCCTTCAGCTGCCGAAGAACGACCCTGCATCGCTGGGAGATCGTTGGACAGGGAGATGGACTTGCTTGGCAAAGGATGAGCTTCATAGCTTTGGCTGTGAGCCTTCAATTATGAGACCAACCCCACCCTTTGTTTTGACAGTCTACTTGCACTGACCCAAATAACTAAACTACATTGTTACATGGCTGAAAATGTTTTGGTCTGCACCACATCAATCTAAGCTATACTTTTGCTTGTTCCTTCATAATATCGCCCTGAGCCAACTTGGGCAGCAATCTGTAGGTCTTCCAGCAACACTGAGGGTAAAGCGAAAACAGTGATGAAATGGTTTACAAATGTTTATTAATATAGGTTACTGCTATCATTAATACAGTAATGTGTGTATATACATTGATGCGTGGTGATATAATTAAATAGTTATATATATATATATATGTGTATTAAACACCATATCAAATAGACACAATGTATTATACATTATCATACAATTGTACATACACTGTGGCAAATTTAATCTTCCACACCCAAACACAAAGTCTCTAACAAACCTCATCCCGACTCGGGGCAAACAAAATCAACTAACATAGTTATATACATCTTACCGAATGTGATGTCAAACCTCAACCGGATATGCAAATGCACTGATAGATTCCCTATCCTCCCCTACTTGGAGAGGCAACTCCAAAGTAAGCGGGAGGTCAAGTGCAAATCTGATCAAACAATCAACTTTATACAAACCTATGTTTATCTACATTCACCTCCATGGGCAGGGAAATCAAACTAAACACGGCAAACCCTTTGCCACCGCTTCAAGTCTGACATCCGAAGGCCATTGCACCCAAAAAACACAAACACGTTTGAGTCTTCCATAGTCTTCCCCCTGTTGGGAGGCCAACTTTTCCCTGAGTGCCACCCACCCATGATGGGCGGAACCTCCGGAACCTCCCGAACCTGACCACCCGCACGGAACCGCCTGAACTGCCCGCGCTTTGCTCGCTTGGACCGGGAGCACCGCCTAAAGCGGCTGATCCAGCCCTAGGATCCCCTTGGCCAAGAGCAAGCGATGCCCCGCGGAGGTCACGCCCAAGGCCTTCCGTCACTTGGGGGGCCAAAAACGGGTGGGAGCGGGGGAGCTTGGGCCAAGGTTGGGTGGGAATTTGGGGTCCTGGTGGTGGCCTAAGCTATATTGCCATTGGAGGATGATCAGTCGTGGTTGATCTCCAACCGGGTATCGAAGGAGGTTCCATGTCGACCGATACGGGCAAAGCAGGCACATGGTGTTCGAACTACCCCTCAATAAAGCCTCTCAATGTGCCTGCAAAATGGGGAGGCTGATCTCTCCCCGCTGGGCTTAGTCTGTCTGTTCAAGCAAGGGGAATTGCTAGGGACATCTGGGGACCCCACAATGAAGAAGTCAAAAGCCCACATCTGGAACCCTCGAAACAAGGGTCACCTGCTGGAAATCTGAGTTCATCTGTGGTCTCCCAGAGGGTTTGGGAGATGATATTCTGAATATGCACAGCAACAAGCAACGATATGCCATTCCGATATTGAACATAATGTCCTTGTTTCCCAACAATATACTCATATTATGTCGGTCCGTCTCATGACATTACACAAAAAAAAATATGTAGGAAGAAAACCATTCAGTCTCATGAAGGCCAGCAGGGTAGAATAAACAACGATGGGAGAGATTGGCTATACAAGCTGTTGAACCAAATCATTTCAAACGTCACGATGGAACATGGTAGCATTCAAACACTGTCTAAATCACTTATTGAGAAGGTGGTGAATAAATCACCGTCAAGGTTGTACTTCAAGCAACTTCTGCAAACCCAAATCTTGAGTCGAGGGTTCCAGTCTGGCTCTTGATGATTCATATTCATGCATTTCTCTTGACACTAATGCAACGCTTGCAACCATGGTCTGGTTGCTGCCATCCAACCCCAACCCCCTTGCCGGTGCGCCTCAAAGAAGGAGGGCTCTAGGTGGCCCAGTGCGCCAGGCGAGAGCGGCTTTTCCAGCCTAGCGGAGGAAGGATGAGATCGGTACAGCTGCCAATCTATTAATCTACAGTATTTGTTTTCGCATGGTTCAGATTGCTTCAGGTAGAGCAAACAAATAGTTTGCTTATAGTACATCATTAGCACATTGGCGATAGGAAGAATCAAGTCGGCTTGGAACTTTTGCTCTCATATTATATTATATACTGAAACAAAATAACATGCAAGTTGGGTTCAGGGTTCTACGGCTCTTGCTTTGCTCACTTGCGTTGCATTCATCGTGTGGTCCTTTGGATGGCCCACGCCTGGCCGCTGCCAGCTGTGCAAAGTCGCAATCAAACTCATCCCTGGCGGTTTTGCGCCGGGCGGATGGCCGGATTAAGGTTTGGTTTCTTGGAAGAAAGAGTGGAAAATATGGCCTAACTTGTATATACTTATATCCCTTTGTGGGCATATGTAGTAAACATACGTCCTTTTGTTGGTGATGCATGCCCAGCCGATGAGCCATATTTGCAACCCCTGCAGAGTTCGGAACGGGGCGGAACAGGGCACCAAGTGAATGCTAGCGGTGAGCATCTGTATCCTATTCCTTTGTGGGCCATCTCCACATCAAAACATTAGCTGGGCTTCGGCTGAACTTTCAAGCTTTCTTCAGATTGTAATCATCAAGTCTGAAGTAGATGAACCTCATGGAATATGGAGCCCGCTGCAAAGATTGTTCAAGATCCAATACAATTCCCGAAGAAACCTGCCATTTTCCCGACACCCATGGCAGTAGTCCATTGTCATGAGTCATTCTGCTTCCAAACGCTTTACCCCGAAGGGTATCGGTCACTGCGACGAGGCAACCCGGAC